CGCAGGTTGAAAGGGTTGTTGTTGTTTGCCATCTACAGAAAATTTTGCAAACTAGGTTATCTATCATGTTTAATAATTAATTAGGCCTTTAATTAATTATCTCCCACTATTTTTAACAAATCAATAACCCTCGATATTGATTCGGAGCTTTCCGGCGAAACCTCTAGTGGGCCAAGATCCATATTTCATTATCTTGCGTTCCGCTTGGGCGTTACTCCACAAGACAACTATTTAGGTAGGAACATAGTTCCAACTGATGAGCCGGGCTCTCAGCTCTTGGTCTGGTGTTGGGCGAACAATATTACTACAACCGGACTAGGACACCTTTTCACCGTACTTGTAATTGGCTGAGGCACGTCTTACAAGCAGACTACTTTGGTTAAGAATAGAGTTCCAATTAAATCATAAAGATCCAACTCCTGGCTGGATGAGTGAGTAAAATCATCCGAGTTGTCATTGATGACCCCAACTTACTGCCTCTGAGTCGTCCATCCATTTGACCGAGACTCAGTTAAGTCTAACCCAACGTGCGACAGCGACCACGCTATGGCGGTTCCCGTAACCATCTTAATATACACTGTACTATGCTGTGCTGAGGCTGAGTACATGACAGTGCACATTAGCCGGATAGGTGCCGGGCATCAGAAGGCGACAGACTTAATATTCGTGAGGGATTTATAATTTTGATCTCACCTATCGACATGGCCGCGCACATGTCCATTACTAGCGTTCAACATACATTCAACATGCATTCACAAAACGCAGTAAATAAACGTGTAATGATTGTGACCCCTAAAAGAAAAATAAAACGATAGCTCCCACTGGCTTCCGGTCACTTGGACTTCGGGCTATCTCCATTCTTTTAGATTTCTTCAAATGGTCTTCAAATCTTTTCGTCTTCTAACCACCACGTAAGAAAAGAATCCTCGGTTGAGGTAAGGGAGAGAAATAGATTTACAACAAGAGTTTATGAGATAAGGCACGACACGCAGGCCGTATTATAATCAAATAAACTATAGCCACAATCATCCACCATGCATATCATACATCCACACAAGCAATAGATATATACATACACCGGGTGAACCGCGCTCACCCCAGACAGTTCTAGAAAAATACTACGGGAGTAAATATTTTCTAAAACTCATAAAATTAAATTAGATGTCCAAATAAATCAAATAAAATTTTATACAATCATTTTATATAATCTGGATATTCGGCCAGCATAAAAAAAATTCCAGAATATTTCAAATGACCAAAATGCCCTTTTGCAAAATTATATTCAAAAGGCCATTAATATTTTGAAACAATTTTGCAAAAATCATGAAAATTAAATTTCAACTTCCAGTA